ATCAGTTTAAAAATTACATGAATAAATGTTCTGTGATTGTAGGAAGATGTGACTCTCTACCAATTACCCTCACCCCAGTATACTGACTCTCTACCAATTACCCTCACCAGTATACTCTCTCTTGTTCCAAATATTCACTTATTAGATGTCTTGGATGTCCCTTATCTCATTTGAAATCTTCTTCCAATTATTAAATTAAGACATGATTTTTCTCTCTCCCTTACATTTACTAATAATCTTTTTACTATCCATAATTGTTAAAGGTGATGACTACCCATTAAAAGGATGGAGGGCTATATGTGTTGGAGCCCAATAACTGTGCCTTTATTTTTGTTTTAAAAAAACAAATCTCTACGTACTTCAAATGATTTACGGCATGCTTGCCTTTGTTATGTGAATTATTCTATTATTTCTTTTTTAAATAAAAGAAAACATCTTTCTCTTACGTCTTTACCTTCTCCATCACTATGTAGTACCTGCCAACTTGCGAAAAGTTATTGATTGTCTTATTCCCGCAATGAACATAGTTTGTATCATATGTTAAATCTTATTCATGTGATCTTTGGGATCCTTCCTCGTCAAATTCAATACGAGTTTTCTTTACTGTGTTATTTTTTATTGATGATTATTCCCATCCACTTGAACTTACCCTTTAAAATTTTGAATATGATTTCTTTGATGTTTTTTTTTCAATTTAAAAAATTGCTAGAAAAATAATATACGAGTGCAAATAAAGATTTTTAAAGCGATGGGGATGCCGAATTTAGTAGCACTTGCTTTCAAGCTCACCTATGTACTTTTGGCACTCATCATCAAGATTAAGATTTTATAAATATATAATGGGCTCATACAATTTTTGGGTTGGATCTTATTGGGCCATATTTTAATATGACATTTACAAGGGATTATGCGACACTCACTCTCAACACCGAGTGAGTCTGCCAACTTGAAATCGTGTCGCTTATGACCTGTTGAGCTACGTTGATGGAACTTTAGTTTTACCACCTCAATTTAAACCAGCAACATCCTCAACACTCAACACCAAATATTTCGAGTGGAAAGCAGCCGATCAATGACTTCTCTGTCTCCTGATCTCATTTCTCATTGAGGAAGTCATTGCTGTCATCGTTGGTCTCTCCAATGTCTGTGACGTTTAGCTTGTCTTGGAGACTACGTTCAACCATCATTTGAAAGCCCGAGAACTGAGACTCAAGGATGACTTGTTGCTGAGTATGCTCATACCTTCAAAGCAATCTTTGACCAGCTTCATGCCATTGGCTTATTAAATAAAAACTATGGTCCTTAAATTTAGTTTTAGCCCACTCTTTCTATTTTTGTAATTAGGTTTGTTATTTAAAGAATTCAACTGAATGAGAAATAAACATCAGGTCTTCGAAGGAACTTTCTTCGACTGTTTTTTTTTCGTCGACGTATTGTCAGAAGTCAACATGGCTAACCCGTCAAGGACATTAATAAAGTGCGCGAGTTTCTTCGTGGACTCGACACTAATTTTTCAACATTTTCTATTACATAGATGGCTTTCACCCTTCTCCCTATTTTTTCAGATTTAGTCTCTAAAGCTGAAAGTTTTGAGTTGTTACAACGCTCCCATAAGTCTTCTGACTTTTCATCTGCGACATTCATAGCCACTAATCGTAGCTGCACCCATGAAAGTCACCCTATTTCCCGTAGCAACTAATGAGATCATTTCATTCTCATGACAACTCTTCCAATCGAGGATGTACCCACTCGGGTCAAGGTCGTCGACCACCTTGCTGTTAAATATGTTGCATGAAGGATCACTATGATGATCACTGCAACCAACGGTATGCATGGACTGAATATACTCATGTTCACCTTGCCGAAGCTTTCAACACGTCCTATTCCATTGCTGGACCCATGACTGTTAACTTGTTTTTAGACATTGGGGCTTCGGTCCATCTGACCACTGATCCATTCATTTTGGATCAGTTTAAAAATTACACGAATAAATGTTCTGTGATTGTAGGAAAAAGGTGCCTCTCTACTAATTACCATCACCAGTACACTTTCTCTTGTTCCAACTATTCACTTATTAGATGTCTTGGTTGTCTCTCGTCTCATTAAAAATTTTATTTTAATTATCAAATTAACCTATGATTTTCTTCTCTCCGTTACATTTACTAATAATCTTTTTACTATCCAGAATAATCAAACAAGAAGAGTGATGACGAGTAGTAAAAGGGATGAGGGCTATATGTGTTGGAGCGTAACAACTCTGCCTTTATTTCTATTTTAGAAAACAATTCTCTACGTCTTTCACATGATTTATGGCATGCTTGGTTGGGTCATGTGAATTATTCTATTATATATAGAAAAAATAAAAATAAAAATAACAGAGGATATCTTTCTCTTACGTCTTTACCTTCTCCATCTCTATGTAGTACATGACAACTTGCAAAAAGTCATTGATTGGCTTATTCCCGCAATGAACATAGTTTTTATCATATGTTAAATCTTTTGTTCATGTAATCTTTGGGATCCTTCCTCGTCAAATTCAATTCGAGTTTTCTTTACTGTGTTATTTTTTATTGATGATTATTCCCGTTCACTTGAATTTACCCTTTAAATTTTTTAATATGATTTCTTTGATGTTTTTATTCAATTTCAAAAATTTGTAGAAAACCAATATTCTGGTAGTATAAAGACTTTTCAAAGCGATGGGGGTGCCGAATTTACTAGCACTTGCTTTGAAGCTCACTTATGTACTTTTGGCACTCATCATCAAGATTTATGATTTTTTTTTCTCACAAGATCATATTCATAGGTCCACATTTCGTCAAATCCTCAAAATGGTAAACATATTGAATTCTTACAAAAGTCATTTTTATCCATGCAAATCAAGAGGACACACAACAAGCATAGATAGTTTGGGCAAGATTATTTAGTATGTCTTAGATACAAAGACGCCTCAAAATTAATTTTAAGCGCAATTAAAAAAACAATAACAAGCATAGATGGTTTGCGCACGATCAATAGGTATGCACGTATGTGAGACTTCTTGGTGCTTTTCCCAACATTTTTTTCCACAATCATCGAGTATGCACCCCTGATCATACAATCTTTCTTCACATCTTTCTGCCGTCGAGACTCCTTCACATACCAAAGTCATTGCTACTACAAAATTAAAATTAAAAATAATTAAACACTACGCATGTAAAAACATGTCAAGTAAGAAAACTACAACATCCATAAACTATTAACATCAAAATTGTAAGGCTAAATCATTTTAACGATTACGATAATCCCATGTATGAACATCAAAGCCTTGCGATATATCAGATATGGATGACGATAATGTTTGTAATACTCATAATAAGATATAATCTATATGAAGAAGAGAACCGGCAAAGATAAGAACAACAACGATAGCGATGCGCGAAGGAGAAATCTTTGTCATGTTTTTAGAGAGAATGCAAAGTGTAGTTTTGTTGAGTGAATTGCAAAGAATTGAGGTAGAGGAGGTTTAAATATACATTTCTTTGACAAATACATCATAATTAGTTTTCTAATTTAATAAATATTACAACCAAATTACGAGCTCATCTACTTTATTGGGTCGTTTTGCTATTTTGGTACAAATTTTACAATCAATTCGGTTTATTTTCTTTGTTACAAATCACTTTTTATTCCCTTAATTTTTGTGAAAGTAGTAATTTCTGTCCTTTTACTTTCAATTTTATATCAATTTAGTTCATCTAACTTCATCCCTTAGTTTTTGTTCCCAAAATTATTGTTAAGACTTGGAGATATTTTTTGTATAGGTAGATCCATTAATTAATTAGGGACACATTATAAATCATTATTATTGCCAAAACAAGTTTAATTAAAAATTCAATATTCATTAAAGTTCACACGTTTAAATAGAATACAAGTTATTGTTAGGGTCGATACCAGTTGTTAGGATCGCTCAACAACGCACACATTCAATCAGGATGAACACAAAGAACAGGAACGAGAAAATACAAGGAGAAATATTGGTTAAAGGTTTTAGCAATGACTTCAAGTATGTACAACCAGATATAATATAGAAAACGAAGAAAGTAGATTTTGAGAGCACAACCCGTTATATATATGGTTTCAATTTACTAAATATGGCTTCCAAACATTTAAACTACGGGATATAATCTAACAAATATATTTCTATCAAATCTTTATCTATTATATATATATAAAGTACATATGTTTTGTTGTTTTAGGTAGAATTTGTTCCGAGTATATTTGCAGGAACTTCAATTTGATCCCTTTTTTTTATGAAAATGTTTAATTAGGTAAAAATGTCCCCTAATGTAGACTCATACATGTGGGCATTATACTTGCTAAATATTATGTAATAACAGCTCAAACCCACTATTAATAGATATTGTGTGCTTTGGCCCGTTACATATCCACGTCAACCTCAGTTTTAAAACACGTCTACTAAGGAGAGGTTTCCACACCCTTATAAGGGATGCTTTGTTCCCCTCTCCAATCGATGTCGGATCTCACAATCCACCTCTCTTGGAGACTAGCATCGTTGCTAGCACATTGTTCGGTATCTGTCTCTAATACTATTTGTAACGGTCCAAGCTCACCACTAGTAGATATTGTCCGCTTGGCCTATTACGTATCCATGTCAACCACACGATTATAAAACACATCTACTGAGAAGAGGTTTCCACACCCTTATAAGGGATGCTTCGTTACCCTCTCCAACCGATGTAGGGGATCTCATAATCCACTCCCTTGAAAGCTAGAGTCCTCGTTGACACACTGTTCAGTGTCTGGCTCTAATACCATTTGTAACCGTCCAAGCCCAACGCTAGCAAATATTGTTCACTTTTGGCTCGTTATAATCAACGTCAACTCATAGTTTTAGAACGTGTCTACTAGGGAGAAGTTTTTCATGAACCAATTTTAACAATCATGTATCAAAAGAGTAAATTTGAAACTAAAACAATATATTCTTAGGGACTAAATGATTAATTCTTTTTTGTTTCATTGCGCTGAGTTGGTTTGGGAGATTCCAAAGGAAATAATGAAAGCAACTCTGGTTGAGTATAGCCAAGCTTTGACCTTAGAGATGGATGCAAATAGAATCCCCTTTCTTTGATTGCCTTCTCTTCTTCCACCTTATTCGACTCCTTCTCGTCCTCCCCCATCAACAGCTTTGACAAGATCTTCGAAGGCGTCCTGACCGGGCTCGTAACGTAGCTAGGATGCTCGTCCGACTTGAAATGGGAAGGACATGGTTTCACAATTTGCAACTTTTGGTCTAGTCAAGTGTCTCCTTTCATGGAGTTTGGAGGTCGTAGTTGACCTCTTTGATCCAACTGCTTTCGATGGTGGCGTGTGGGTTTCTGATGGCCCGGTTAGACGTTGTACAACCTCTCGAAACGTTGTCGTGTCGGTCTGTATGAACGTTGTCAAAGGTGTACACACGACACGACTTTGGCTGCCTCCCTTCTCCATCACAATGCTACCTTATTAAGGAAGAACTTTGAGAATTGAAAAAGAGAAGAAAAAAAAAGGGAAAGAATTGTTCCCATCAAAATTAAAAAGTAAAATATTGTTTCATTCACAAGAAAATGCTATTTTTACTTTTACTTTTATTTTTTTTACCAAAAAGAGACTTGGTCAACTCCGTTGACCAAAATTCACTTCCTCGTTGTCTTTTGATATCCCAAAATCCATGTCTTTTGAAAGAATCGAAGAAAGCAACATTGTATGGCTATAAGCAAAGAAACATCACGGCTTAAATATCATATAGCTTGAGGGAGGAAGAATTGACAATTAGTCACATCCCTTTATGGGGCATTTTAGCTCTTCTAGCTGTAGTCATGGTTTTGGTGAATGGTATACACACTCATGTTACACCACATGAAATAGTAAAGACTTGTCTAAGATGAAAGCAGTAAAAGGTATAGGGCATGCGGTCATGGACAATCCATCCTAGATAAGCATGATTAGGACATCTGATATGTGACCATAGACAACACGCCTTGACAAGTATAACTGTGACACAATTCACAAGTCCAAGCCCATCGCTAGCTAGCAAATATTGTCCTCTTTGGGCTTTCCTTTTCGGGCTTCCCCTCAATGTGGGATTCTCACAATTCACCCTCTTCAACGTGAGACCCCCACCAAATTCTTGTCCTCTTTGGGCTTTCCCTTTCGGGCTTCCCCTCATGGGATTCTCACAATCCACCCCCTTCAATGTGCGACCCCCACCAAATCCACCCCCCTTCGGGGCCAACATCCTTGTTGGCACACTGCCCAGTGTCTAGCTTTGATACCATTTGTAACGGCCCAAACCCAAGCGCACCGTTAGCAAATATTGTCCTCTTTGGGCTTTCCCTTTCGGGCTTCCCCTCAAGGCTTTTAAAACGTTTTTGCTAGGAAAAGGTTTTCACACACTTAGTATTTTGTTCTCCTCCCCAACCAATATGGGATTGTGTCCCCACCTAACGTGGGATTCTCACATCTTCACTCTTACAAGCATGCTAGAAGAGCTTGTGTTGGTTTATGGGGTCCAAGTCATGAGGTGTAGCATCCAAATTTTACATGGTTGACTCTTACATATGTCGATATTATCGACGAATTGCAAATTTTACATGGTTGACTTGTTTGTTGGGTTACAACAAGTGTCACACAATCGTTGTCCCGTTGTCCCACTGCTCTAGGAGTGCAATTGTGTCAATAATTTTTACATTTACATAACTAATCAATTTAAAATATAATGATGCAATTTTTTGAATCAATTTTACTAGCAGCCAAAAAAATATAATGAAAATTAGTTGTTTAATTATACTTGATCTAATTGTTTTATATAAATTAATATAAGTAATGGGCATTGGGTGAAAATGTAAAATCTTGAAGTTAATGGACCCAAAAAGAATTAACTAAAAAATTCAAAGAATAAAATCAAAATTAAAAAATAAATATGTAATTATTTCGAGACCAAAAAAAAAAAAAAAAAAAGAAGGCTAATATAAGAGATATTTGTAGTTGCATAAGCATAATACATAGCTGGATTTATGATTTTTTATATTTTCTGCGTGACGTGGCAATCGTAAGAGAAAAATAAAATAAAAAACAAATCTTTGCTTTTTATATATAACACCAAAGCTTCTTCTTGTAAACTCTCTCACGAATCTCTCTCTCTCTGCGCCGATCTCTTCGATTTGCACAGAGGGAAGAAGAAAATGGCGACGCCGGCAGTAGAGGGAGGTCCAGGCGGCGGAGGAGGAGGAGTAGCGGCAGCACCAAGAGCAGGGCAACAGCAACAAGGAGGCTTCGCACAGTCTCTTACTGGAGTCATTAGGATCGCCGTCTTCTGGTACTTCGCTTCTAAATTCTTCGCCCCCAAGAAGCCCTCTGATCCTGCTATCCTCATGTCCAATCTCTTTCAGAAGGGTGAACCGCTGGTAATTTTGTAATTAGATTGTTAGATGTGTTTTTGAATAATTGATGATTCCGTTGTACTTGCTGTTTTTCGTGTTTTGTATTGCGAGTAATTGTTTCAATAATTTTTTAATCGATTTACGTGACAATATTGTATTCTTTGTATGGATTTTCTTGGAAATTCTAACTGAGCCGGCTGGATGCCGAGAAGGGTATAGACTATCTTTTTCACTCTCGAAGTTATAGGCGGCCAGTTAGGTTTCCGATGTTTATCGTTGGAGATTTAGGTGATTGGAATTTTCAACTCTGTTATTGTTGACTACAGGAGAGATCCTAAAGCTTCTATGTTATGCGTTTAGCATGTGATGTAAATACTCAACTTAATGCAAATCTTGGCATTGAATTTATGTCAAGAGCACATACCGGGTTCTTCCGCTGTTGAGTTCTCTCCTATGCTATCTTTTTTTTTTTTTTTACTTATTTTCGGGCATGCGTGAAGGCCTGAAATCAGATATGTGTTGTTTCACTCGTTGCACACAATTCATGTGGACACGAACATTATGTAAAAATTGAAAAAGATTTCAATTTCTTTGTTCTGATTGGCACAACCACCTGACGGTATTAGGAAATCCCTAGATTTTTAGTAAATTTAGGTTGATCGCCACCATCTAGTTTGAACTCACTCCCTTTCTTTTTTTTTTTTTTTTTTTCTTCTCTAGTCTGAATAACCTCCATGGTGGTTCAAGGCATTTGTTGAATCTTGTTCTAGGTGTACTGAGAGTTGCCTATTTTTGATGTTCAAGCAGTTATTGCCATATGTTATAAAACTTTTCTGTTCTTAACTTCTTATGATAAATATTATGTAGGTTTTTGTTCGTTACTTTTTTCTATCTGTAGCAGAATTTTTTCTGTCTATTTTTTTTTTTTAGTTATAGGTCCTGTAAACTGTTACCAGTTGCATTAATTTCCTTCAGGATATGTGGGTGTATCTTTCTGAGCATGAAAGGTTTACCGACTTCGGAAATGAAGGTGCGCTTGTTTGGCATGAGAATGGTATACCTTATGCTATATGGGGGCCAGAAAGTGTCAGATCTCTTTCATTGAAGTACTATCCATCTGAGGTACTGTTAAACCATTACTGACGCATCTGCATATTGCCTTTTTAGTCCCTGGTTAGTTCTTGATGTTAGAGGGTTTTGATGCAATAGCTCTTCTTATAGGATTTGAAACAAAATGGATCGCTGTATGCACATGTCTTCTTTGCACGGTCAGGATACACTCCAGACCCCAATGATCCAGAGTTTCAGCCTCTTGCTGCATTTGGAAGGACACATCGTAAGATCTTATATTTTTCCGTGTTATCTTGAGCTTTAGATTTTTTGTTTCCTCTGTAATCAAGCAACAGATAATATATCGGTACTTGAGGATGTGTACTTCAATTCATTTCAGCTATCGTGATATATTTGCCCAAGTCAAAAGCAGATAAGAAGAAGAGTTTGTTAGGCAATTCTGAAGGTTCTGATGCTGGTGAAATTCTGAAAGAGGTGATTCCTTTGCCGTTGAATAGTTCGGTTTGTAAATTTTGTTCACTGATATAAGAGTCATGCATATGTGTTTGGCATAAGAGATATTAATTAGGCAATGCATACTTGAATCATGCTTTATGTGCCCTGTTTTTTTTTTTTTTTTTTTTTTTTTTTTTTTTTGTTTGTCTAGATGAGTTTTTTGTAACTACTGTNGTCTTCTTTTGGGGAGAATCACATTTATTACTATTTTTGTTATCATCAAGTACAATTATTTCTCCTGAAAGATAGTCGCATGTATAAACCTGAAGAAAATTATTTAGAATCTGCAGAAAGATTGTTGATGTTGGACTTTCAGTTTCTGATGCTTGTACTTCACGAGATCGGGAGAGAAGCATGTTGATTGGATAGACTCTACTCATATAGTGCAAGTGTATAACTAAATATATTTCACCGCATATTGATACTTTTAGCATTTAATATGCTATGAATAACCAATATGATAAAAATGTTATGCTATGCTATGCATTAGTTATATAAGTAGAAATTTGCAGAAGTACCTCAATAGTTGTCAAAGATATATCACCAACGCTCCTTATGGGCACCAGGATATTTAAGTTTTGTGTTTATTAGAATGACATGAAATAGATTGCTCAATGGAAATGAAGTAATTGTGTATGGGATCATAGTTTCGGAGTGTACTTTCCATTATCTATCCACTGATTCAAATTGCACTAGCATTTCTATCCTGTCCTATTATTGTGTTCCCTTGTTTTCTTAATGGCTTTCATTTGATGGTACATCAACACTTGATCGATATTCAAGAATTCTCAGTCTTCTGTAGTGCTTGCAATCTTGAGCCGTCTTGTTCTAAACAAATGTCACTTTTTGTTGCTCAAGGTTGTTGATGATAACCAAGTTGATCTGAAAGATGATGGTCCTGTGGAGTGGGTTTCCTATTGGAAACCAAATGTGACTATTAATCTAGTTGACGATTTTACCGGGTATGTTTACTACATTTTAATCTTTAATCTCTGCAAGTTTTTAGAGCAATAAAATTATGAAAAATTATTAGTTAGTACAGTGATTAGAAGGTTCTTGCACTTAAAATTGATGTTTCATATATATATATATTTGCTTTTATTAATTTCTTAAAAAAAATATTTATGATAAATATTTTTTGTACTCTTTATAAATCAAATACGTTGAATCTAGTATGACGGTTGTCTTGGCATACCAATTTATTTCTGTAACTTCTATCATGTGGCTTAATTGATCTATTTATGTATAGACAGTAACACGGACAACCTCATGTTTTCTTGTTATCTCCTATGCATTAGTCTCGTTTGGGATTCACTAATACCTAAGAAGTTCATTCTTTCTTTTTTCTTTTTTTTGCAGATATCCTCACAATGGTGTTCCACCAAATATTGCTCCTTGTATCCTTATATATTCCTCTGTCCATCTTCATAAATTTGGTTTTTTTTTTTTTTCTTATTGTGCTTCAAGGCTGTATAAGTAACAAAGGAAATACAAAAGTGATTG